AAAGTTCATATAGACCTTTTTTCTTAAAATTGTTTCAGGAATACGTCACTTAAATATTTTAACGTACTTATGTTACACCCTGTATACGGTGCGGACGTAAATAGCCCCCCCACTCACAGAGTTGGACAAAATTTGTATGAAAAGGAATCTGTACTTTTTGACAAAAAGCCATTGGTGTGACATAACTCGCCACAAAGAAGGTGGGTGCTTTCAAATTTCATTTTTCAAATAGAAAGGGGGGTCTTTTGATCCTTCCTTGGGAAAGGTTTTCGACCTTTACTGTTTTGAAAATGGAAAATCAGTTGGGGAAATATTGATGTATCAATTGCAGACTCTGTCCAACCAAGCAACGGAGTATTCCAAAACATTATCATGCATAGTCCACGTGATCTCCCAGACAAGACTGCTCGTACAGAGTCGCACTAAGGAACGACCGAAATTTTATTTATTCTTGTAGTAATATCCGACTGGGTATATAATTTTTTTTCAGGTGGAGTGTAGGGACACAAACTAGAGGCTTGTTTATTTCAACCAATAGATGCACTTGCGCGTGGTGATAATGCTTTGATCACGCATCTATCATTGTCTGGGTTAGTTTGTTTGTTGGATGGATATAGTTTAGAAAAATGGAGAATCGTTTTCAAAGGTTCAAACACCAAAGTTCAGATTGTTTCGAAAACAATATAAGTGAAAAAGTGGAAAAAGGCATTGTTACAAGGTTTCCAAAATCGGCGAAATTATCACATGGGCGGATTTTAAACATCAATCCAGTCATCGCCGGAACTTGGGTGGGCCGTTGGAATAATTTGGCGGCCGGCCAAAAACCGAGGTGCTATCCCGTTAATTGAGAGATAGCTATTCGGTCAACAATATTTTGTTTAGGTCGGAGTTAATCTGGCGATGTATAAATACTGTCGCGTCTGCAAGTTATGATTGAAATTCAACATCTGCGGCTGCAACGATTTATGACCAACAAGCGCAGTGACATTTTTGCCTCCAGATCTTTCTCTGTTTCTGCTCGCCACCGCTTTCATCTTAATTTGGACTGTTGATGCAAGATTGTTCATTTTAACATATTTAGAAGAGTGTATTTTTTCGGAAACTTTCCATGCATAGATCATGCAAAGGAATAACTTCCAGACACACACTGGAAGAAAAAGCCGTGGAACACCGATGAACAAACTCACTGAAGTGGGAGTGGAATGTATGAAAGTGGATTCAGTCGTATATAACAAATCGCAAACAAAATGTTACAAAAAATGTATTTGAATCTAGATCGATTCCTTGTCCTTCTTGAGTACCTCAAGGCAGCTATTTGGGTCCCTTACTGTTCATCATAGAGTGTGTCTCACTTTTCATGGAAACGATGAAACTCTCAGGGCTGATGGAAATGCTCAAAATGCACCTACCACCTGAATGGGATTGGTCAAAGTGATATACACTGTCCGCCACTCGCGATGGAACACCCCATTTTTACGGTAAAACATATTAGGGAGCAAAATAGGCTCAAAATTCCTTCAGATTCGTTATCGAAAATTTCAAATAATGACATGTTTTCTTTAACAAAAATAACACATTCATACACATACATACTTGTAAGAGTAAGAATTATCTTTTCAGTAAATATTTCCCTGCAACTCTACTAATGCATTTTGAGAAATATTTTGTGATATGACTGTCAAAGCAAAACAGTATCTTGATGAAGTTGTTGCAATATTATTTATATGACTCTTCCAGTTCAATTTTGAGTCAATTGTTAAGCCCAGAAAAGACAATTGAGGGGAAGATTCCAATGTTGTTGATCCATTATTGAGATTACAAACACTACTAGTACCATTTCGTGTAAACGTTATGGCATGCGTTTTATTGGTATTCAATTTCAGATTATGGGCTGAAACGTAGTCTTCTAGCAGGTTCAGGAAGGAAAAGATATTGTTTTTTTCAGAAGAAGCATCATCTGAACTAAAAAGCACAGAGCAATCATCAGCATATTGCACCATAAATTCATTCACAGCGTCTAATACGTTTTTAGTATATAATATATAGAGTAAAGGACCCAAGATTGACCCTTGAGGTACCCCTCTGATTATTTTCTCTTTAATTGATGTTATTAGTTCGCCGTTCATTTGATCCCTTTGAATCACGCACTGCCTTCTATTTTCCAGATACGATTTTATTAATTTGAGAGGCAAACCTCGTATAAAATAATTTGATAACTTGCACCCAATATTTTACACTCAACACTATGGAAGGCTTTTGACAGGTCCAAATTAACAGCTGTTGTAATTTTATTTTTGTTGATGGAATTTATTATGTTACATTAAGGCTGATAGTTTGCTCTAATGATAAATTTGTAACTGCGCTTTTCTTTGACTTATCCAAGGCATTCTACTCCATAGATTTTGATATACTTACAAACAAATTATAAGTAATAGGTATTAGAGGGTCATTTCTCGCATGGGTAATATCATATATGAAGTTCAGGCAATTATATGTGACATGGGATGATACAATCTCTGTTACATTCAACGTAGACATTGGAGTTCCACAGGGCTCAGTTTTGGGACCACTGATTTTTCTGATTCACATCAATGATTTACCTCAACATCTGCAGTCTCAGAAGGAGCAGATAGTCCTGCGGAACTACAGTCGAAATTGAACACAATAAGTCGTAAATTTACGAAATAGTGTCACACAAATAAACTTATAGTCGATGTCGACAAAACGGTGTTAGTTCAATTTATCAACCGAAGACACAGAGCCTATACAGATTGATATAAATAATGTCACTATCTATCCGTCGGAAACCACAAAATGTTTAGGACTTTATATATATTCTGGGTTGAGTTGGCAAATTCACATAAATTATGTTTGAGAATCAACACCAGTTTCTACGCATTGGTACAACTTTAAAAGGTTATGAATGAAGAGCATTTGTTGAACATTTACTATGCGATGGTTCATTCAGTACTATCTTACAATGTGCTTTTGTGGGGAGAAGGAATTAACGTCAGTCGAGCACTCATCTCTCAGAAAAGGACAATAGGTATGTTGTATGGTCTTCGACACACAGATTCCTGTAGACTCATTTTCAGGGAAAGAAAAATGTTAACGCTACCATGCTGCTAAATGCCTGCAAGAAAACAAATACTTCCCCGGCTACTACCACGTTGGACATTTATGCAAAATACCTCACATATGTTGGTCTGGAAGAGGTGCTGACCGAGTAGATCCTCTACAAACTGGTTTCGAGGTAAAACCTCTCAGCAGTGCCGGACCCAAACAGCAAATAGCCTGGGAATCAATTAATTCCAACTCGGCTCTAGTGCTGAATAAGGACTCACAACGATTTATGAAAGATAGTTGACAGGAATCTTGCTTTCGTTTCACCTTTTGACTTATGCTGTTCTGAAATTTCTGATAGACGTCTGGATGAAGAACTTCCTTATTGTTTTTGGATAGTTTCATCGACATTCGGACCACCCATTAGCGGCCGGCTCGTTGTTCATTTCGAAAATAGAAAATTCCCTTTGTACGAGGTGACGACGAAATGATGAGTCGTGCTCGGCGCTAATTTTAGGCGACATGCCCACCTTCTAAACATAGAAAGATGATGTTGGAGAGCGACACAGCTGGACTGGATAATTGTCTTGTAGTGGTGGCTATATTTTATTCGCTTCGGGTTCATTACCAACATAAAACGAAGGCAAAAATCGTGACAATGTGTTTGTTAATATATTTACGGCTGCGACAAGGTTTTTGTTTCGTGACACTGTGAAGACAGAGCTGTGATTCCCCGAATTCCTTCTTCTTGTTCGTGGCATAAAGAAATTCGTGTTCTGTGGTACTCTGTTTTCTAATAAAGAAAGTGATGAATGCTCATCAGTAAAGCGAAACGATAACAAGGTTCTCAAACAAAATTTTCTGATTTTGGTTTGATTTGCTACAGTTGGTATGGAATCATAATACTTTAACGGGTTTATCCTATTTTTGAATCGCAAACGGGTTGCAAAATAAAGTTTTACGAACGTTCAGGTCATTTTATTACATACAGAAGCGGGCGTTTGGGTATTTATTCGAAAATACTCGTTGAAACTAATAACTAATGAAGTGACCTTCATTTTTTCTCAGAAAATATTCATTTATTCATCAATTTCTATTTCTTCCCATCAACCTAGTCCCTCTCAGATATGATACACCCGTGCCGGCGTTCTTTGAAATCCTCGAAGTAGTTCTAATAAAAAATTCATCATTTTTTATCATCACCAGCCAAGTTCTAGAGTAGTAACCAAATAGAACCTAAAACCTGAATGTGGCAGTGATAAAGAGGCATAGAAATATTAACCCACCTTTCTGAAACAATGATATAACAAACTCTACCAAAATCTCCAGTTCACCTTCACATTTAAACTAATTATATCACTCAACACTCCAAGTCAGAAATATTATCAGAGTTCGAACCAAAAATTGTTTCTGCTCTACTGAATTTTATTGATATACTCCTTATACAAACACTACAAAATCGAGGATTCTGATGGCAAAGTTCTGTATCCTCGATGCCATAAAAATGCGTGAAAATTCACAACGATTTGTATTATATTCCAGCCCCATTCGTCGGTATGAACCATATCCAGTTCCAGTTCGATAATGATTTCCATTGGTTTTGTAGCAAAACATGAATTTCAATTTGATTCATAACAGGGGAACTCATTTCATAAAGTTAACTGTCAGAAAATCTATTAAAATGTTGAACTGTCAAACTGACAACAAGTCAAATTTGCTTAAAACAAGAAACAGTGGTATTTGAAAATATTGTCAACAGATGGCGCAACAACATGTCAAATTTGCATAGAAGATCATGAAGGCGTGTTATTTGAAAATGTCGTCAACAGATGGCGCAATAATTGTTCAAAAATTGCTTTTTATAGGAATTTTGAACAATTACAGTTGAATAAATGACAATAGAACTCAATTAGACAAGACAATGATGTTCGACTCACCAACTGATTTTGATAAGCTGTGACTGCAGTGAAAATGGTCTCAGGAAAAATGAAAGTCTTGTATTCTTCCTGTTCCAGGTCCTGTATATGACTGGAAGCTCCTTCACCTCGTTTCACCAAATGTATCCTTGGTTGGTATTTGTGCATTGAGTTGAGAACCAACTGAAAACATTCATGGATGATTTCGCTGCGTTTGATTTCCATACAATTATTGTTTCTCTACAACTACTAAAATTTTAGAAATCACTCACATGTCCATGTTTGTCCATTTCGTTATTGGTGAGCTTGACCTTTTCGAAAGACACCACTTGCTTCTTCAGCTGCTCTCCTGTGAATGGTGAATCAGGATGGGCGCAGATCCTACAAGGAGCAGGAGGATCCGCTTTTCCTGCAACCAGCCACGACGATCGATGGTAGGCGTACCGATATCTCTTATTATCTACAGGAACTATGTCTAGCAGTACTGCGTACCTCTGATCCGGTCGAATTCCGGTGAAAGACACCCTCACTGTAGGAAACATCCGCCTGCAAAAGAAAAAAGATTTCAATAGTAGTTTTAGAATGTTTTCATGCGCTTCATGTTTTCATGCGCTGTTTTCATATATCGTGAATGAGTGATAAAACTTTCATCGTAACATTTTCTAAACTTGAAAATATTCAATTGAAATTTTAGGATGCCACTTCCAAATTGCATTCATTACTTCAAAAATTTGTTTTCAGGTTTAGTAACATTGGAAAGCTTCCACTCACACGCAAAATTATTTTCCCAAGTCCCTGTATACCTCCATAATTCGTACTGGGTCCGGTTTTTTTATACAGTGTAAGAGGAGACAAATGTCCGTCCTTATATTTAATTGCACTCATTTAGGTGTTCATATTAATAACATCACTCGCTGGCTATCGAACTGGTTCCGTCCTCGGAAATTATTCTGGTGGCAGTTAAAATTGATTAGATTCAAATACAGAAGGAAGCTCCAGCAGAGATGTTTATAAAATGGCCCTATCAATTACAATTTCAAGTTGGGAGCCCAAATCGACTGCTCAGGCCCGTAAAGGTAATTAATCTCGTGTGTATCGTTACTAGTGTTACTGGTCCATGATTACAGTAATTTTAGCTTGTGTATATTTTGGACAAGTAGTGCTTTTCAAATTCGACGGAAAAATAAATGTTGGATTTGTTACATTTCTACAGCACCACATTTCAACCTACACTTAAGGGATGAAACTAATTCCATTGAGAAAATCTCTTGTGATACCTTTTCAAGAAAGCCTGAAAAATGATTTCTCAATCAATTTCGGATGCGTAAATGAATTGAATTTTTAAACGACTTTTCCTATGAATATGTCTTGTGTTACCTTCAAGAAAAAGACTGAAAAAATATTTTGACAACGTTCAGACGCCTAAATGAATTGATAACTGAATTTTTGGCTTTTCCAGTGTACAGAAATGAAAATGATACATTTTTACAGCTTCGCTATAGCAGTGCTATAGCTTTGCTACATTTTTACGGCTTTGCTAAAAATGTTCTACATTTCTACAGCTTCACACCTCAACCTGCATTTAAGGGATGAAACTACTTCCATTAGGGAAACGTTTTGTAATATCTTTTCGAAAAAGCATGAAACACGATTTCTTCAACAGGTTCAGAAGCCAAAATGAACAGAATTTCAAAACGACTTTTTCTATGAAAAAATTTAATTTGCTACATTTCTACAGCCTTGCTATAGCTTTTCCATAACTACAACTTTGCCACAGCTTTGCTACAGTTTTGCTACATCTCCACAGATTTTCATTATAACCTACACTTGGAGGATGGAACTACTCCCTAAAAAATATGTCTTGTGTTTTCTTCGTGGAAAAGTCAGAAAAAAGATTTTTTCAATGGATTGATAACGGAATTTTTGGCTTTTCCAGTGGACAAAAATGAAAATGCTACATTTTCACAGCTTTACTATAGCAGGGCTGCAGCTTTGCTATATTTTTACAGTTTTAATACACATTTGCTATATTTCTACAGCTTTACATCTCAACCTGAGGAAACGTTTTGTAATAACTTTTTGAAAAAGCATGAAAAATGATTTCTTCAACAATTTCAGAGGCCTAAATGAACTGAATTTCGAAACGACTTTTCTATGAAGAAAAATGGATTTGCTACATTTCTATAGCTTTGCTATAGCTTTCCCATAACTACAACTCTGCCACAGCTTTGCTATAGTTTTGCTACATTACCACAGCTTTTCATTATACCCTGCACTTGGAGGATGAAACTTCCCCTTAAAAAAATATGTCTTGTTTTACCTTCGTGAAAAAGCCTGAAAAAAAATTTTTGGCAACGATCAGATGCCTAAATGAATTGATAACTGAAAATTTGGCTTTTCCAGTGAACAGAAATGAAAATGCTATATTTTTACAGCTTTGCTATAGCAGTTTTGCCACATTTTTACAGCTTTGCTACAAATTTTCTACATTTCTACAGCTTCACACACCAACCTGCCCTTAAGGGATGAAACTACTTCCATTTAGGGAACGTTTTGTGATATCTTTTCGAAAAAGCATGAAAAATGATTTTTTCAACAGATTCAGATGCCTAAATCAACTGAATTTTTGAACGACTTTTCCTATGAACAGAAATGGATTTGCTATATTTTTACAGCTTTGTTATAGCTACATCGCTACAGTTCTGCTACATTTCTGCAGATTTGCTACAAATTTGCTACATTTCTGCAACTTTTCATATCAACCTGCACCTAAGGGAAGGGAAGATATCTTTTTGAAAAAGCCTCAAAAATGAATTCTTTAGCAGGTTCAGATGTATGAATAAACTTGTATAACTGAATTTTTGAATGGCTTTTTCAGTGAAAAAAAATGGATTAGCTACATTTATACAGCAGTGTTACAGTTCTGCTACATTGTTACAGCATTGCTACAAATTTAGTACATTTTTAGAGCTATTCATCTCAATCTGAACTTGAGAGATGAAGTTGATCCCATTAAAAAATAGGATTTGTGATAGCTTCTCAGAGAAAACTGAAAAATGATATTTTTCAACAGGTTTTTCTACAGCGGAACAAAAATACTTTCCATTGACGCGCGTCTAAAGACAGTATTTTCGTTCTGGTGTGGGAAAAGTTTTTTCTATAGATTCAATCTACCTCTCAGCTCAACTCATTGGTTATTTTTTTATTATTAAAATAATTTTCTAGTCAATCATGTCATTTCTCTTGCCCGTTTTCACTATTTTGTTTCACTATCAACTAGATCCAAACATTTTCAAATGAATGTAGATATTCCACAGATTTGAAAAGTGTTTGGAGAGAAAATAATTTCAATGTTTCAGTGCGATATTTGATTAATAGATAAGTTTGCTGATATAATTTTTGGTAAAGTTATAATTGAACAAAGAGTGAGTTCTTTCGTTAGTTCTGTCTGAAGGAACATTTTTAATATTTTTGGTCATTCATTTGGAACTACTAATTTCAATGTGGATTATTATAGAACATAAATCAAACAAACGTAATAAAAATAGTTCCAAAATAGTGTAATTTCTTGAACCAACATAGACATTCACACGACCCCCGAAATCATTCAGAATATCAACAAATATATTAGTCTTTTCCTAGTCATTTCACGTGAATTTCTGTACAATTCGTCGAAAAAATTGAACACTCAATAAATGTCAATATTTAAACTTATCTCTTTAACTTCTCTGGAACCTCACCTTGTCTTCTTCCTGAAATACCCATAAAAAATGTATCGATCTTTCATTAGGGGAGGCAGGGCTAAATAATAAAAGCGAATCGCTTCGCGACATGAAAGTTGTCAGAAAATGTGACAAACCCTTGTTGCAGTAATTTCATTTACCCGGTAAATTATTCACCTTCTCGCAAATTGGAAGACTGAAGGTTGGATCGCTGGGGATGAAGCTGTAATGAAGTATAATTTGAATTCGGAAAGGGGCTCGAGAAGATGTAAAAGTGAAGAATTTCTTTAGAAAAAATTATGTTAAAAGGCAGCATACATAGTTGGTGCATATACATAGAGTTCCTGCGGAGATATATACCTATAGTATATTGGTAAACGATTTTCCATTGCACTTCCCAAAACAAGCTCATTTCTGATACACCAGAACTTCCAACCAAGTTGGCCTCTTTAGAAGACGAAGAAAAATAATTCCCAACTCTAAAATAGGTTTCTGTTTATATCTAAAACTTACACTTTCAGACACACATTAGTGAATTTCATTAGTTGGGAGTTCCATTGTTTGATATTATATAAAATGATTTGGAATCACTGAAAGAACTAATGGAGAAAAGTAGAATTGGAAATCAATAGCTGAAAATAACAATCATATCAAGCAAAAAACCCGAAGTGAAATGTGAAATGAAATACAAGTGAAAATAGAACAATTGAACAAAAACTAAAACTAGAAAGTTGAGAGATACCAAGCCACACAATCGTCTTCGAGTGATGAATGGACTAATTTCTCTGAGAGATGACTGTTTATAGGTCGTTCGAGTACTTTCACTTATCCCCGCTTTCCATTTTCCGCTTCACCGGTTTAGTGAAAGATACATGTTGTTGGACAACATGTATGCGGCTTATTTGAATTTCCTCCTAAACCAATGTTCCTCTCTGTGCAAGATCTCAGCTTGGGACCATTCGATGTTGTGTTGACGGGTCCAAACATGCTCTGCTATCCCTGATTTGCAGGTTTCCCCTCGCTGTGTGTGTTTCTTGTGCTCGGCAATGCGAACATGGCCTCTTAATTTCCCGATATAGGATTTTTCGCACTCACAGGGTATCCGATAAATACAATTTTTGGAATCGCAGTCCGCGTTTGGTGGCCTGGTTTTCGTGAGGCTGCCACGGATCGTGTTCTTTCTTTTTCTTTCCGATAATCCTCTGATATAAATAAGTGCAAGCACTGGTTGTGACGGCTTCTCTTTCTTGCGAGGCTCCTGCTGTCTTTCAGCCAAAGTCTGTTCCACCATCGCTTTGGAGTAGCCATTCCGTTGAAGATCCTTTTTGATGATGTCTAGTTCCTTCACGAGACCTTCCTTCGTATTACAGAGCCCCAAAGCACGGTCTACTAGAGTCTTGATGATTCCTCTTTCAGTCGATTGATGGTGGTTGAATTCGTAGTTCAGATACTATCCCGTGTGAGTGGGTTTTCGGTATAGAGATGTTTCCCACTTAGTGTCGGTCCTTTTCACCAATACGTGCAAGAATAGCAATTTCTTGTGCACTTTCTTCTCCTTTGTGAAAGTGATGGAATATCTTACGCTGTTGATGTGTTTCAGGAAGGCGTCTAGTTCAGTATTCCCATTTTTCCATATTATGAAGGTGTCGTCAACGTATCTCAACCAGGCACGAGGTGTCTTGTAGACTTCTTTAATGACCACAGTTTCAAACCACTCCATATATATGTTGGGTATGACTGGTGAAAGTGGCGACCCCATTGGCAGTCCATCATCTTGTGTAAAGAATTCGTCCTTCAGTTGGAAAAAACAGTTTGGTACA